AGTAATTTCTGTAGCTAGGCCTGTTTATGTAGAACTTGGGGGTGTATTTGCTATTTAAGTGGAGAATAGTATTTTAATACTTAAAAGGTCTGGTGTGTCTCTGTGCTGTGTAAGCTGTTTCTAATCTGTATTTGAAGTTCTGTGCTGTTTATCTTGAGATCCAGGTTGATGTTAAAACATGTTCCCTTTTTACTGGAGAATTTACTGCTTGCTTCCAAAAAAGATCAGCAACAAAGGAGATTAAATAAATCAAAGCCTTCTTGCATATTCCAGCTCTCAGCAAGGCTGAGAACAACCTATAGGAATCCCCTGTTTTTGGGATGTGTTTCTTGTGGAGTTTAATTTAGCTCGATGATGCCATTCACATCAAAATGGTGCTTAAGAAGTGAGTGGCTGTAGATGGTAAAATAATATTATGGTGAACACCAGGCCAAAGCCACACACTGCCTCGGCAGGTATGTCTGAATTGCTAGCTAAAGCAAGACCTCAGCAGATAATTTATGCCCATAAAACTCAGGATCCCTGTGATTTCTAGCTACTCTCTGCTGTAATCTGGCTGCATATCAGCATAAGAGCATCTTAAATGTTGATTAAATGTAACTCAGAGGAGCAGAGTTGTCATGACAGACTGGATTGGGTTGGAAAGGACCTTAAGGTTCACATAGTCCCAAGCCCTGCCATGTGCAGGGATGCCACTCTTTAGCTCAGGTTTTTCAGAGTACTATCTAATATGGCCTTGAACACTTCCAGGGATGGGGCACTCACAGCCTCACAAGTCTTTGAGTAAAGAATTTCTTCCTAACATCTGATATGAATCTGCTCTCTTTCAATCTAAACCCACTGACATTTGGTCTAGCACTATCTGCCCATATAAAAAGTCCCTTTCCCTCCTTTTTATAAGCACCTTAAAGTACTGGAAGGCCACAGTAAGGCCTCCCCAAAGCCTCCTCTTCTCCAGGCTGACCAACTCCAGCTCTCTCAGCTTCTCTTCATGGGAGAGGTGCTTCAGCTCTCTGACCATCTTTGTGGTCCTTCTTTGGACCTGCTCTAACAAGTCAGTGTTTTTGTGGTGCTGAGGACCCCAGAGCTGGATGAAGCACTCCTGGGGGGTCTCATGAGGGCAAAGTAGGGTGGGAGAATCCCCTCCCTCAACCTGCTGGCTACGCTGCTTTTGATGCAGCCCAGGGTACCATGGGCCTTCTGGGCCACAAGTGCACACTTTTGGCTCATATCCAGCTTTTCATCCACAGGAACTCCCAAGTCCTTCTCTGCAGGGCTGCTCTCAGTGACTTCTTCTCACAGTCCTGTATTCAAGTCTGGTTTGCCCTGACCCGGGTGCAGCACCTTGCACTGGGACTTGTTGAACCTCATGAGGTTCCTGCAGGCCCAACCCTCAAGCTTGTCCAGGGCCCCAGCGATTGTATGCCCTCCTTAAGGAGTGTCACCTGTCAATTCATGTCATCTGCAAACTTCTTGAGGCACTCAATCTTGCTGGTCATTGCTGCATTTATCTTCTTGTTCATCAGAGAATATGACAGCACAGCTCTGAGCTTGCACACTTGGATGCGTACATTGATTCCTTTCAGTGGTGGATTGTTGACATGGTTGCTAATACTAGATCTGCTAGAGATGTGATCATACACAAGGTATGGTAACCTAACCTCTAAACTCAAGCAACACTAAGGAAGAAAAATTGTTTATCCATTCCTTTTACATGTCAATCCTCAAAAACAATGCCTACTCCACTTTCTCTGTTTACATATTCTTCCCACAACAGTTTTAGTGTGGAAATGGCTAAGACACAAATGTAATTTCCAAGCAGATCAAAGTGTCAGCTTGCATCCAGCATGGGAGGCCATGCTGCACTCAGCAGGGAGAACCATGGAAAGGTCTGGCCTTGTCCTCACCTGTGTCCAGGCTGCTGTCACAGATTCCCTGCTGTCAAGGTTTGTGGATGATGTTCAGCTGTTGTTTGCATCTTTTAATACAAATTATTATTTTTAAAAATACAGACAAAGAAACTCTAAATATGATTCCATTTTGCAAACATTACTGAGAAAAATATTAAAATCAAGTTTCTTAGGCTCAGCTAAGTTAGGATCAGAATTAGACTAGTATTAACAACTTCGAATCCCCAAATAAACAAATACAAATTTTGCTCTAGTAGCCATACAGAAAAAAAAAAAATGGAAAACATTACATGGTTTAGAATTTGCATGGAAAAAAAAAACCGGAAAACATTACATGGTTTAGAATTTGCCTCCTTGCACTTGCACACAAATGGGTGAATATTCAGCGACAGAAAAAGGATTTTGTGCTTGTAAATGGCACTAAATTGGGAAGCAAAACAGACAGAGCAGAGAAATGAGGCAGAGGTCCTCCTGAAACAAGGATGACTTTATTTTATTTTATTTTATTTTATTTTATTTTATTTTATTTTATTTTATTTTATTTTATTTTATTTTATTTTATTTTATTTTATTTTATTTTATTTTATTTATTTTATTTAATTTTATTTATTTATTTATTTATTTATTTATTTATTTATTTATTCGTTTGTTTATTTATTTATTTATGATGTTTGATTTGTGATGGTTTGTTTAGGCTGAGAAATTGCTTACAAATAAAGGACGCAGCTTTGGCACAAAGTTGCTGGTGTGATTGTGACTTGGCGAACTCTGCTGAAGAGGGTGAAGGGACAAAAGCCCCGCTGCAGCCTCCTCTCTCCGCGCTCAGCGGGGATGCGGCTCGGGCTCCGCGGGATGAGGCTCGGGATGCAGCTCGGGATGCAGCTCGGGTGCAGCTCGGGATGCAGTTCGGGATGCAGCTCGGGATGCAGCTCGGGTGCAGCTCGGGATGCAGCTCGGGATGCAGTTCGGGATGCAGCTCGGGATGCAGCTCGGGTGCAGCTCGGGTGCAGCTCGGGATGCAGTTCGGGATGCAGCCGAGGAGCTGCAAAGCCCTGCCCTGCTGCCCCTGGCTCTCTGCGGGTCCCCTGCAGCCAGAGTTTGCCCAACTAGTTGAACTGG